CCCAGTTACACACACACACACACACACACACACACACACACACACACACACAGACACGCAGCTGAGGGACCACTGCAGGCCAGGAGCCCCGCCCCTCCCCCAGGCACAGACACTGCAGAGGGTCAAAGCCCCTGATGCTCTCACGGACCAGGTGGCAGGGGTGGGGCTGGAGATATCAGAGGGAGGGAAGGAGTGGGAGATGGACTTGGGAAGGCAGAAATGTTGATTTTGGCCAGAATCTAAGAAGCCTTAAATGCCTCACGCAGAACTTTGAATTTTATTCTAAATATAATGGGAAGGCATCGGGGCGTTTTAAAGAGGAAAGCTCCGCGGTTAGACCCATGACTTGGGAAGAGAGAGTGAGGAGAGAGTTGCGGGAGGAGGTGCTGCAGGTGTCAGGTTAAAGGTTGCTGAGGGCTGGCCTGGGTGCAGGTGGATAAAGACATGTCACATTAGGATGACCAGGACTTGCTGACCAAGGTGTAAAACATGACTGACATTCTTCATCCATCAGACTGAAAAAAAAAGAAATTAAAAATAGACTGATAACACCTAGTGCTGATGAGGGGGCAGAGAAATAGTCTCTGCTCTGCTCTTAGAAGTGTAAACTGGTACAACCTTTACGGAGGGTCATTTGAAGTTGTGTATTAAATTAAAACTTCACAAGCTCTGTGAGCCAGAAAACCCACTTTTAAGAATCTAGCCTAGATATGGAATTCCCTGGCCATCCAGTGGTTGGGACTCCACACTTGCACTGCCAAGAGCCGGGGTACAATCCCTGGTCAGGGAACTAAGATCCCATAAGCCACAGAGCGCAGTCAAAAAAGAAAGAAAAGAGGAAGACAAAAAAGAATCTAGCCTGGAGAAACAGCTGTGTGAATACACAGAGCTAAAACGAACAAGGAGGGTGACTGCACCACTGTTAGCAAAAGGGAAAAAACCTCAAAACAACGGGAACTCCCTTCAGTAGGGGAATGGCTAAATAAAACATGGTGCATGTACTCTGTAGCCCTTAAAAAGAATGAGGACAAGTGGCTCATTCTGATCAGAAAAGATGCCCAGTCTTTACTGTGGACTGAAAATATCTAATTGCAAGCCAACATGCATTTTTGTGATTTTTAAAAAAGGACTGCTGTGCCTATATATCAACATTGATGTACCCCTGACTGCAATGGCCATGGGAAAAGAGCTGGGATGAATCTGTTAGTGTGGTTCCTTCTGTGTGTGTGCGTGTGCGCGTGTGTGTGCGTGTGTGTGCATGCGTGTGTGTGCGTGCATGCGTGTGTGTGCGTGCGTGTGTGGGGGGTGATTAGAGAGGTCCAGAGGTGGGTGAAAAGGAGGCTACTACCTATTTTTTGTGCCATTTAAAAGATTATTTTAAAATTTACATACAGTGAAATTCATCTTTTCTGTCGTACAGTTCTATGTGTTTGAACACATGCTTAGATTCTTCTAACAACCATCACAAATGGGCTGCAGAACAATGTCAACACCCCACAAAATTCCCTGGTACTACCCCTTTGTAGTCAGATCCCACCTCTACTCCCAAACACTGACATCTGCTGATCTGCTCTGTCTCTGTATTGTTGTCTCTTTCAGACATCATATAAATGGAACAATACAGTTGATAATCTTTTGAGACTGGCTACTTTCACTTAGCATATGCATTTAAGATCCATCCGTTATCGTGTGTGTCAACAGTTCATTCTTTTTACAGCTGACTAATATTCCATTGTGTGGGTTGTTTATCCACTGGCCAGTTGAGGGATATTTGGGTTGTGTCTAGTTTTTGGTGATTATAAATAATGCTGCTATAAACATTTGTGTTCAGGCTTTTGTGTAACCTAAGTTTTCCTTTATCTAGGATAAATACCTAGAAGTGGGATTGGTGGGCTGTAAGGTAAGTGTACTTTTAATTTTGTTAGAAGCTGCCAAATTGTTTTCCAAAGTGACTGTACCAGGGACTTCCCTGGTGGTCCAGTGGCTAAGACTCCATGCTCCCCATGCAGGGGGCCTGGGTTTGATCCCTGGTCAGGGAACTAGATCCCACATGCATGCGCAACTAAGAGTTCACATGCCCCAAATAAGGAGCCTGCTGGCCACAATAAGATCTGGCACAGCCAAATAAATAAATAAATAATAATAAAAACAAAGTGACTGTACTGTTGTGCATTTCTACTAGCAATGAGTGAGAATTCCAGTTGTCCTGCAACCCCCTGGGCATATGGTATTATCAGCATTTTTAATTTTAGCCATTCTAACATGGCTAAAATGAGATACTAATGTGATAGTATCTCATTATGGGTTTTTATTGGTGTTTCTCTGATGGTTAATGATGATGAATATCTTTCATGTGCTTATCTGCCATCTGTATATTCTCTCTGGTGAAATAACTATTCATATCTTTTGCCCACTTTCTAATGATTTTTTTGGTTTTGTACTGTTGAGTTTTGAGAATACTTTATATATTTTAGATACCAGTCCTTCACTGGATATATTGTTTGCAGATATTTTCTCATAACGCGTAACTTGTCTTTTCGTCCTCTTAATGGGGTCTTTGGCAGAGAAAAAGTTTTAAATTCTGAAGTCCAATTCATCAATTTTTCCTCTCATGGATTATGCTTTGATGTCAAGTCTAAGAACTCTTTGCCTAGTCCTATGCTCCAAAAATTTTTTTCCTAAGTTCCTACAAGTCTTATAGTTTCATTTTACCGTTTTTAAAAATATATTTATTTATTTGGGTGCACCAGGTCTTAGCTGCAGCATGTGGGACCTAGTTCCCTGACCAGGGATTGAACCCGGGCCCCCTGCATTGGGAGCACAGAGTCTTAGCCACTGGACCACCAGGAAAGTCCCCTCATTTTACTTGTAAGTCAGTGAATCCTTTGAGTTAATTATTCTATATGATGTGAGACTTTGGTCAAAGTTCACGCTTTTGCATATGGATGTTCACATGCTCCACAATCATTTGTTGAAAAGGTGAAGTAAAACCAAACGATACGGCAACATTTTCTACAAGGGTGCAAAAGTAATTTGCCTGAGCTCCGTGGATCTGTAAATTGTTTTTCCAAAATGTAGGAAGTTTTCAGTCATTATTTCTTCAGGTATTTTTTTCTATTCAAATCTATTTCTCCTCTTCTCTTGGAGAGGAGACATGAGAATGTCTCCTGAGTCATGTGAATGCCTATGACATGAATGTTAGACTTTTTAATATTGTTGCTCTGGCCCCCAAGGCTTTTTAAAAAATCTTTTTTTCTCTTTGTGTTCAGGATGTTTTCTATCGAACTATCTTTAAGTTCACTGACCCTTTCTTCTATCATCTCCATTCTCCTAGTGAACTCTTCCAATGAAGTTTTAATTTCTGTTATATTTTCCTGTTCTAAAATTTCTCTTTGGCTTTTAAAATAGCTTCTGTTTGTTTACAGAGAATCTTCCCATTTGTTTCAAGAGTGCTCACCCTTACATCTTGGAACCGTGGTATAACAGTTTCTTTAACATCTTTTTCTAATAATTCCAACCTTTGGATCACCTCAGGGTTGATGTCTGTTGATTGCCTCTTTCTTTGAGAATTCTTTTGGTTTTCATGGTACTCTGTAGGTTGAATAATTTTGGTTTGTATCCTAGACATTTTGAGTATTATGTTGAGACTTGGTCCTGTTAAAATTCTCAAAGGTTCTTCTGTGCTGATCTGCAGGTACATCTCAGGACCAAGCCCAGGATTTCATACCTGTATGTGAAGGACCCTTCTCAGGTGTTTCCCTTCTGTGGTTTTTCACACCCCAAGATTCTCTGGCTAGAAAGCCGGGATTCAGCCTCTGCGTTGCTCTGCACTCTTATGACCGGGACCCCCCTGAGGGGCAGAGTGGCGAGGGAAGGGAACCTGCAGAACCACCAGCACAATTGTTGAGGGGGTGTGGCTTCACTACGGGCTCTGCTACAGGGGTGTCCTAGCCGAGGAGAGTGATCGCACTGGGAGGCAAGCGAGGATGAGCGGATGTACACGGTCTGAGGAGCACAGGGAAGGCGGGGAAATGGAGGCCCAGGGTGTGGGCCACACTTGCCAGGAGGGGACCATGAGGGTATGGATAAGGCTAAAAAGAAAGGCAGGTGTGAACAAAGTTGCTTTTCTTTAAGAATAAAAGACCTGTATATATATATATATATATATACACACACACACACACACACACACATATATATATATATGTATATACAAAAAAAAAAAAAACCAACACAAAATCCCAACAAACTCCTTGTATTCTACTCAAATGAACTTGAATACACTGAAATAACTGTCGTTAGAGACGGTGACAGTCTTTTCGAGCTCATTTCCTCCAGAAAATCTCCCTGCCATCCAAAGAAAGATGGGCATCTACCTACAGTCGCCGCCACCTGCCTCCCCAGGCCCCTAAGCTCCCGGACAGCGAGGCTGGCATTCTCTTGCTGACCACCTTTTAGGGCCAGCACAGTGCAGTGTGCATGGCAGGAGTACATGAATGTTTGCTGGAAGAACGAATATGCATGAATGAGTGAGGAATGGCTCCAGGACCTGGTGTGCCACTGTCACCAGCCCGGTCTGGAGGGAATGAGCATGGACTAGAGGCAGAGGCTGGTTATCAAATGAGGCCCCTGGTGAGAACAGTGCTTTGTCCAGCTACTCTCCAAAATATCCAACAATTGTCTACCACTACATAGAAAATAAAACACACACACACACACACACACACACACACACACACACACACACACACACACACACAAAGGAGACTAGAACGAAGGCCAACAGGGATAACATCCAGAGAGTGGACCTACCGACGACTACTTTTTTCTATATGTTTTGTGTATTTCACCATTTTTCCTGTTCCAATTCTAATCCTGTGCGCAGGAAGCTGCTTCCAGACTCTGGGATGGATTGGTCCAACAGGATGGGGACTGTCTGCACACATGAACAGGGCTGATGACCCAGGGCCATTCACCTCCTATGGCAAGTGAGCAGACTGACTGGTCTCCTTTGTGTCAACGAGCACAAACATACCGGGCTCACAGCGACCTCCCCAAGATGCCCTGTGAGGCTCAGCCCAGTCAGCAAGCTGGGCTCCTCTGTTTATTGCCAACAACCATCTTATCCTCCCCGAATCCCACACCCCCGGGGTTTCTCCATCTTCAAGGAAGGAAGACAGGGTGTAGGGGACAGGTGGGGGAAGAAGCAGGAGTGCTGGGACAAAGTAGCTGGAGTCCTGGAGATGGAACTGTGCTCATCTGGGACACCTCCATAACCCAACTTTATGGTGCGCATCCCTGGAAGGGGGGCAGGGGAGATGGCAACCCATCTGGGAGCTCTGAGTAAAAGTGCCTGCCACCACAAGATAATAAACAGCAATAATTAGGCCTTCCTGGAAAACTGGATAATACTGTTATTACAACGTTTTATTATCTGTATGTTCTACATGAATTTAATTGCCTTCAGCTGCTATAATTTGGGAGTCATGAGGACAAGAGCAGAAATAATAACGAATTGAACCACAAGCAGACCCAGGGTCTGGGGAAGGGGTGGAGGCTGCTTCACTGATGGGCCCTGGGAGCCTGGGGCTCTGAGATTCTGCTCTGGCCTGCAGGAGACAGCCCCCAGACCCCACAGTCCCAGGGGGCACCAGACAGCAGCCCCAGCCTGCCTGGCTCTCGTCCCTCAAATATCATCCACCCTGGGAGGGTCGGTTCCCAAGAGAATGTAAGAATTATCTCCTCTCTTTGCATCGAAATGAAAATCACTACCCTTGCCCCCTAAAGCAACCTAGATTCTTCCATTCCAGAATTCATCTGAGTCAGTTACTTCTGTGGCTTAGGGAGTGCTAATAAAGCTAGTCGGACAACACAATTCTCTTCTATTTAAACAAAGCCATTAATAAATATTATATTGTATTTTACAAATCAAAAGAAAAAAGAGAAGCTCTCTAACTACAGACCATTCCAGCCAGTTGACAGTGAACAAAGCCTGACTCTCACAGCTTAACCTGAGGAAGTTATAAATTATCAATGTGTCAAGCTTCGCCCTCTGAAGCTTCTCTTCCAGGTCTGACCGTGAAGCTGAGTATCCTATCTTTAAGTTCTGTTCATTCAGCAAGAGAGACATCTTCAATTCTAGCCCACAAAGGCGGATGGTGCTGATGTCAGGGTTTTATCTGCACCCTCCTCCGCCCTGGCTATTTTAATGGCTTTTTGAATCACTCTATAATAGCTTCAATAACCTGGAAATTTGCAGCGTGGATAATCAGCTACAGCTTGAACCTCCCCCAAAGTTCCCTCACTGATGATCCTAACATAGTGGCAGCAGCAACAGCAAATCACAGCGGAGGCAAGGGGCCTGGATCAGGAAGGCTGCACGTGTAGGCTCTTCCGGGGGCGTTTTCCCGAAACTTCTCCCTGGAATCACCTGCATCTTTGGGTATTGCCTTAAGAATTTAGAGCCCTTTATACACTGCACTTTTACTAACTTCCTAGGAAGATTTTCCTGACTTCTCAGAACTTACACAAAACCCTGATATTTGTTTCCCTTCCCCAGTCTCTATTCCTAACTCTTGATCAAACATGGTGGTACCAACAGGAACTTTGACTTTTCCTCCAGTTCCCCGGCAAGGTTTTTACCCAATGCATTTATATATCAATACCTGCGGACGTCCAGCAAGACATTCCAACTGACCTGATTTCCCCACGGCCCTGACCCTTCGCGAACGCCCTCCCCAGGCTGCTCCACGCGGGCCTCTTACCAGCTGCCCTGTGGGGCGACTTCCTCTCCGCCGCCTGGCTCTCCTTCCTGGGGTCGGCGGACGGCCCTACCTTTTCGGGGTCCCGGGGGCTGGCGTCGGGGGGCGCGGGCAGCTGGGGGAGGGTGAGGGTCTGCAGTAGCGGCTTCCTGGGCAGGGGCGGCTTGGAGCTGAGGTGCTCGGCGGACCGGGTCTTCGCCTTCCCCTCGTTGGGAGACCTGGCGCCTCGGGCGGCGGGGCCCGTCCCGGGCGGACCCTTGTGGTTCCTGGAGAGCAAAGTCAGCCCTCCTTTCTCCAGCCGGACCTCCGCGCTGTACCTCTTGATTCCCCTCCCCTCCGGGCAGGGCGCTTCTCTGTGTTTGAAGGACAGAGACGTGGAGCGGAGCTTGACCGGGAAGGGGCTTCCGTCCCCGCCCGCTGGCCTCTCCCGGGCGGCTGGGCCGGGGTCCGCGGTGGCCGCGTCCGGAGAGCCGCGCTCGGCCGGGGCGGGCGGCTTCCGAGGGCCGGGCTTCGGGCCCTGGGGCTCGGCGGGCGCCGGGAGGTCCTCGAGGGCGGCCTCACTCTTCCAGGCCGGACCGCTCCTAAGAAGCGGCAGCCGGACGGCGGGGCCTCGGGGCTCCAGCAGGCGGCCCCCCGCGCGCGGCCACTCGCGGCCCGACGACACCGAGAACTTTTTGGCGGCCCGCGCCTCGCGGCCTCCTCGCTCCATCTTGCGCTCCGGCGCCGCCGCCTCCGTGGGGGATCCCTCCCGCTCGGCCCTGGGGGGCTCCGGGGGCGCCGCCTCCTGGTCCAGGGATCGGGGTGCGGGCGCCTCTGCAGGCGACTCCGAGGCAGGCGGTGAGGGGGCCGCGCCGAGGCTCGCGTTCGCTGTCGCAGCCGAGGCCTTGTGCTTCAAGCAGCTCTTGGGGGCCGGCGGGCTGGGGGCCGGGGCTGCTGGCCCTGCGCCCTGGGGACCCAGAGCGTCCAGGGTCAGTCGCACCTCCTTCGGACCGGTGTGGTCTGGCCCGTCGGGACCAGAGGGCGTCTCCCAGGTGGCTATGGGTCCGGGCTCGGGAGGGATCGTGTCCCCCTCGGGGATGCAGGGAGATAATCGACCCTCGACGTCTCCCGAAGCACAAACCACCTCGTCTGCTGTGTCCCCGCTGGGGGGACACCGGGTTTCCAGGGACAGCTCCTCCCTTGGGTTTTCGCTGTCGGGATTAGGGTGAGGGTGCGGGGAGCCTTCTGGGCAAGACGGGGACTCCGAGCGGGGGTGTGGGCTCGACACGGGCTCTGTGACCTCCATGACCTCCGGGGTGGCCAAACGGCTGGAGGGGTTCTCCCCGGGGGGGTCCTCCTCCTCGGTGCTGGCGGTGAGCGCCGGGCAGTGCTGCAGGCGCGCCCGCCGCGCACGGGGCCCCACAGGTGGCAGCATGGTCGCCTGCCCCCCAGGCTCAGCGCCTCTGTCCTGTCCCCCCTCCTGCTGCCCAGAACTGGGCTTCTCCTCCGTGCTGACTTTGGGTAGAGGCTTCTCGTCGTATTCCTCCTCCTCTGGGGTACACGTCAGATCGCTCAGGGATTCGGACTGCGCTCTCTAGGAGGAATAAAGTGGACAAAAGACAGCATCATTAGGACGAATATTAGGAAGCCTACGGCCTCCCCATCTTGTTCAAGGTTTAATTAGGTTTAAGGGAAGCAGAATGTCTCTAAAGCTGGCACTTAAGTGGACATTCACACACAGCTGTCTTTCCTTAATCTTCCCTTGCTGGTCTGTTTGGAATCCTGCCTCCCAAGTTCAGCTTTCAGCAGAACTGAGGCCGCTATGCCCCTAAAATAAATGTTGCCTGAGGCTCTCGAGGCCAAGCTAGAAACCAGTGGACACTGCTCTACAGAGTGAAGCAAAGGGAAGGGGTCCAGCATCGGCCGGGTCTGCCATGCTCTGTGCTCGACATGGTTATCTCACTAACTCCCTGGTTAGCTCCAGTGAGGAGAGGATTATTATTTCCTGCTTTTGCACCTGGAGAACTGGGACCTCAGAGAGGTCCCTGCCTTGGCCAAGGCTGAGCTAATAAGTGGCCCAGGGGCAAAGCTGTTGCCCTCTCTGACCCCCTGTGCTGCCTCAGAGCCAGTGTCCCCTGCCAATTCCTTCTCTCTCCAGGGATGCACCCTCATAGCAAAGGCAGAGGCTGGTTTGCCCAAAAGATGATTCCTATCATGCCCACCACAGTCAACAGCAAACCATAGCTGACAGGATAAAGCCCAAACTTTTCAGCTAAATTTGAAGTCTTATATTCTGCCGTTTTATTTATTTTTGGCTTTTTAAAATTTTTATTTTATGCTGGAGTATAGCTGATTTACAATGTTGTGTGAGTTTCAGGCGTACAGCAAAGTGATTTAGTTATACATATATCTATTCTTTTTCAGATTCTCAGGTGGGGGCAGGGATAGATTAGGAGGCTGGGATTAACATATACACACTACTATACATAAAATAGACAATCTATTCTGCCATTTTAAATTGTTTCTCCCACTCCCTGCTCAGGTCAAGGCAAGCCCCTGACATTTTATGTGCCAGACTCTGGGCCTGAGTGACTGGCCGGCTGCCCTCTAGCCCACACCTCCAGGGCTCCACTAGCACCCCCAGAGCTATCTCTGATCCCACTCCTATAGGAGGCTTTGCCTGGCTTGGCAGTAAGTCACGGCCTCGTGCTATTTTTCTTCCGAAAGGTCTCTGGAATCTAGATTTAGTCCACTTCCTCCCTACCATACACAAAGTCAGTTCTTGCCCTCTTAGGAAGGAAAGGAGAGCAAGGTAGTCATGAGTCATTCACAAGCAAATGTGAAAATGACCGAAAGGCTGAGGGCACTGAGGCTGGTGTTTTTTATAAGTTCCTGATTTTAGACCTGTCTTTAGACTTTATAGAGTCACCCAGGCTGCTGCACAAGGGCAGTGCCCTCCTTCCTTCTTTTTAGCAAACACCCAGGGGAGTGTTTGCAATAGGTTTTTGTTGTTGTTGTTATTTTAACATTTTCCAGCTGGCATCTGCTTGCTGACACAAGATAACTGGGATGTTTGTGACGACACCTAAGCTAGCTTTGCCAAGATGCACAACCCTATTCCTCTGGATTCCAAAAGGGGAAGATGTGAAATCCCCAGAAGAATTTTCAAAAGCTGCAGGCTTCTAAGGTGTTACTGGCCTTTTGTTACTACAGGAAATCCTTGATGTGGAAACCCCTTTAGGATGGTGGCTCATGTTTTTAAACTACTGGAACCCACATTAGGTCATCATAAAGCTGAGAAGCAGGCCTGGCTTGAGCACATCCGGCTTGAGCCACTGGCAGCTCCAAGGGGTTATGGTGGGAGGCCAGGCAGAAGGAAGGCTGGCACGGAGCGTGCGCTCCAGAGGGTGGCCCCCGATGCCGAGCAAAGGCTTTGCAGGGAACAAAGCGGCTCCTACCCGAGCCTGGGCTCTCTGGCCAGGACAGCAGGAAGGATGCGGATACCCACTCCACCTCCACCACCCACACCTTGCCTCCCACTCTGGGCCCTCAGAGCAGCTTCAGCCCCTGGAACCCTCTCGAGGAACTGGAAGCAGGGGACCCATTGCTCAGCCCGCACCCAGACGGAGACTCTGTCATGGCTGCCTGCTCATCTACCTCCTCTCGCCAGAAAGAAAGTGTCTTTGGGCAGCATGCACATCATCTATGGGCAGAGGATGGGCACGATGGGCAGTGCCGGTGTGGAGAGGAAGCATCTGTTTCTGACACCCGGGACTTGTTGGCAGCTCTGCCAGCCAGGCGACCTCGGGCTAGTCATCTAATCACGCTGCTCCCGACAGAACAGAGTTAATAATATTCCCTCTCCTGGCACTGCCTGGGTTGGGATGAGGACCAGCTGGGGTGGTGAGATGTCAGTATAAACATTTACGGGGGTTCCACTTCTATTGCGCCAGAGCCACGCACGGGGCACGGTTCTGAGCAGCAGGGTAACAAACATGCTGAGACAACCAAAAACTATGCTGGCCTTTCGTGTATTCCCCTTCCCCAACCCCTGCTTTGGTGGGGGCAGACGGATCCAGCCAAATGCAGTCTTGAACATGTTTTTCAAACTTGTAATAAATATCACAATCTTGACAGCCAAGGTTTTTTGTTCGCTCGTTTTCCTGTGCAAGATGGGATTTTTGGTCTATGAGCAGCTCCTTCTCAGCCCCGTCATTCTCTGTGGCCAGGCGGACCCCACACCCCGCTTCTCAGCTCCTCTGGGGATGAGGCATTGCAGGCACCACTGGGCAGCAGAGAAGGTGACAACCCTACATGGGCCTCGAGCCCCTGGTCCCGTGAAGCCAAAGCACTGCACGAGCGAGTTCTCAGCTCCCAGAGGGACGAGCTGATGACTGCCCGGGCAGCACGCCAAAGAGGGGGCTGTCCTTACAGGGGCACCACCCCTGTGCTGCTAAGTAGGTCCTCGCCCCAGGCAGTGTCCATTCTAGCTGTTCAGCTTCTCACTTGGTCATTCATGCGTTTGTTCATCCATTCATGCATTCAACTAGCGTCCACGAAATGTCAGCTCTGTGACTAGTGCTGCCCCAGGGCTAGAAGTACAGCCTTCTCACGGAAGACTGGCAACAAACGAGTGAGCACCTCCATTTACAAAGGTCACGTCCGGGTACGGCCAGTGCCATGGAGGAAGTGCCCATGGTGATGGGCAGGTGGGCTGCTTTCCACAGGACGTTCCTGGTGAGCCCCTTTGGGGTGGGCCTCGGAACCCACCCCCCAAGGGCTGAGCAGGGGACACAGCCGGTCCCAAGGCCTGGGGTGGGAGGCAGCTTGGTGAGTGCCAGAAGCAGAAGGGAGGCCAAAGCGTGTTGAGTGAGAATGGGAGGAGGTGGGCAGGGCCCGGCTGTGCCAGGCCTGCAGTCTGGACATCACACTGAAGACAGTGGGAAGGCAGGCGACCCAAGGCACAGAGCAGGTTCTTGGTAAGCGTTGCAGGATAAGGACCGAATGAATGAATGAATGAGTGCTTGGGGGGGAGGGGCATATCTGATTTAGGTTGAAACCATGAGCACCCTCAGCTCCTGCGGCATGGTCATGGTCCCACAGCCCTCGCGGCGGCGGTGGGGGGAACCAGGGGCTCGAGGTCCGTGTAGGGTTGTCACCTTCTCTGCTGCCCAGTGGTGCCTGCAATGCCTCATCCCCAGAGGAGCTGAGAAGCAGGCTGTGGGGCCACCTGGCCACAGAGAATGACGACGCTGAGAAAGAGATGCTCATAGACCAACATCCCCTCCCTCCTTCCCTCGAGACAAGCTCGTGGGGTGTTGATAAGGTACCCTGGACCAGCTCGGCACTTCAGGTGGGGGGACCCGCCCACCCTGCCCCTGCCCGGTTACCGAGGACAGACGCCGCATTTTGCTGCACCGCTGGTTGCGGGGTTTGACCAGGAGCTTGTGCTTGGCCGCAGAGTTGTCCAGGCAGGAGGAGAATTCTGGGGGATAATCGAAATCAGCCACGGGGGCCACACTGCCGTCCGAGGTCCTGGGGGAGACGGAGGTGTCGCTCGCTTGCCTGGAGAACAGCTGGTCAGGAGACTGTGGCCGGGACGAGGAAACCACACAGACCTTCAGGGCACAAGGAACACACAGGCCAGGCCGTCAGCTTCCCCGAGGAAACAGTACAGCCGGCACATCAACCTCCCCTTTCACCGGGCTCATCTCTGGGCTGGGGGTTTGAAGTGTCGAGCCAAACCCTGCAGGCCCATCACTCATTTCCAAGAACCTGAGTCCTAGGTGCTCCGTAGCCAGTAACTCTGCCTTCGCCCCCACCCACGGCAGCTGCACAGCTGCTTCAGACAAGAGCTACTTTCTCCCGTGACACCGACCAGCCCAATTCCTCCAAGGGCGGAGTCAGGCTTGGCCCTGTCTCTGGAAGCCATGGCGGTGGCTCAAGGGTGTGATTTCACAGGCTGGGGCACAGCCCGTGCCAAGCCCTGCTCTCAGCATCCCATCATTGCTCACTCTAGGGTTCTGTATCTTCAACGCCTTCTCTTGGGACAATCTGGCTGTAAGTTACCCCTGTTGAGTCTCAAATATTTTACTAGTTCATACCTCGGCAGGAAGTAACTGAAAGGCAGCAAAGGGCAAAAGTGTCGCCTGGGAGGAAGGGGTTGGGGGGAGTCACGTGGAAGAGTGATGGTAACACCGGGTTCTCCTGCAAAGACACTTATCAGCATAAAGTAGCAGACAGGCACCCACTGCGCACCCGGGGGAGCAAGGTGCAGAGGGAGACCTTGGTGGGGGCTGGGCTTTAGTGACAACCCTGCCACCTGCAAACAAACAAACACAGCTTTCTTTTTTTTTTTTTTTTTTTTTTTTTTTTTTTTTTTAACCGTTACGCGGGCCTCTCACTGTTGTGGCCTCTCCTGTTGAGGAGCATAGGCTCTGGACATGCAGGCTCAGAGGCCATGGCTCACGGGCCCAGCCACTCCGCGGCATGTGGGATCTTCCTGGACCGGGGCCC